ATCATAATAAGGCAGAGCTTTTGAGCTTCTGACTTGGAGGTTACTGAATCTGTGCAAGAGAGCGCGTGGCAGCAAATGTCCATACTGAGCCCTCTTTGCAAATTAGCTCCCTTGTGTGAAGTGTCTGACATAACATTTTCCATCCCTGGAATAGACATGAACTTTGGAAACTCCTGCTGTCCATATTAGGGCATCTCCCGAGATTCTGTGTGATGCACAATCTTATTGCACTTAGTTGCCAGTGGAGATGGTGGAATCCCCTAAAGACATCAAAAAGAACAAAAATCGTGCCTTGACGTCAGTGAAATGTACTTGTTCGCAGCTGGCGTTCAGGTGATCACATCAGTAAGAAATACGCTTGTATTACAGAGCCTGCCTTGCAGTTCTTACAAATCCTATCCTGAAAGGCCATTTAGTGCAATATGTAAATGAACACTTGTCGGACATGTGCTTCTGTGACTCTTTGCGTCCACACACTGCAACCCAGCTCGCTTGACTCTGCGGGGATGGGGGGGGTGTTGGGGGAGGCTGTGATCCTTGTCTGCGCGCTGTTCCAGGTGGGCTACACGGTGCGCTTCGAGGACGCCACCTCCGCCGAGACCCGCCTGAGGTTCATGACGGACGGCATGCTGCTGCGGGAGGCCATCGGCGACCCCCTGCTGCAGCGCTACACCGTGGTCATCCTGGACGAGGCCCACGAGAGGACGGTGCACACCGACGTGCTCTTCGGAGTGGTGAAGACCGCCCAGAAGAAACGCAAGGAGCAGAACAAGTTTCCACTGAAGGTCAGGCCATAGTGATGGTAGAGTGCTTCAGGAGTAGGGATGTTACAACTTTAAAGGCTGCCTGAATGATGGTTTTTCACCATTGAAGATTCAAAGTATATATGTAAAGTGCAGTACAAAACAACATTTTAATACCTAGAGTGAAGTGTTGAGCATGTCTAGGCGGAATACTATGAATAATTAACCAGGTTCTGGTTAGTCTTACTGAGTTTGAGTTGGACAGTGGCACAGTGTTTGGCATTGCCGTCTTGCAGTACTGGGTATCTTGCCTTGCGTCCATTGCTTACTGGAATAGGCTCCATCTCCCGCATGATCCTATACTGAATAAGCAGATTAGAATTTGTATCAGTTTGAAGAGTTAAATTAGCATGAGTGGAGTCCGTTAAGAGATATGACTCCCTCTCCCTAACAGAAGGGTCTGATGCTAGTACTCAGAGGCAGCACAAGATGTATTGTTTTTTTAAGCCCCTGTAATTCGTAGCTATTAAGTTATGTTTTATGCTCATTCATGCTTTTTTGCTAAATAAAATCACATATCTCTAGCAGCTGATCAAAGTAAAGATGCACTTGATTTATAGATATAGAACTAACCCTGACATAGAGAACAATGATTTGAGTTGATGTCCATAAATGACTCTCCTTTAAACAGCCAATGCCAATTCATTTGTGTCCCAAACGATGTTGTGCAGGTGATTATAATGTCGGCCACAATGGACGTGGATCTGTTCTCCCAGTACTTCAACAAAGCCCCAGTTCTTTACTTAGAAGGACGGCAACATCCCATCCAGATCTTCTACACAAAGCAGCCGCAGTCAGACTATCTCCAGGCGGCGCTTGTGTCAATCTTCCAGATCCATCAGGTACATAGAAATCGACAAGCAGCTCTACAGAATCAAAGGCGAAGCACGGTCACAATATTTGGTTTGCAGACAGCACTGTGTGAGGGGTGTCGGACACTTCTCCCCGAGGGCCCTGGTGTCTTCTGAGTTGTGTTCTGGCTTTGTGTTACGTAGCTGGTCTAATTACAGATGATCACCATAATTGTTAATACTTCTAACTGGGCTTGAAGAGTTTTATAGGTCAGTGTACCTTTCCTGATGCGCATCTTTTCAGTAATCAATTGTAGAAAAATCTACAATAAAAATATAAAGAAAAATCCTTTATGTCTCTAATTAAGAAAATAATTTGGTTATTTGTTGTACTCAGGTTGAACCTGCTGGAATTAAAGTTGACACCCCTGATTTATACTCTTGACTTGAAAGCGTTTGGTGACTCGCTAATTTTAATGATCCGAAGAGCATCTTCTTGACCAGTGCTGGGTTCCTGCCGGTGCATCACTTGTTGAAATCCTCTCGTCTCACTGCGTGTTGTGCAGGAAGCTCTGCCGTCGAGTGACATACTGGTGTTCCTGACGGGACAGGAGGAGATAGAGGCCCTGGCGCGCACCTGCAGGGACATCGCCAAGCACCTGCCCGAGAGCTGTGGGCCCATGTCCGTCATCCCCCTGTACGCCTCCCTGCCCCCAGCGCAGCAGCTCCGGGTCTTCCAGCCGGCGCCCAAGGTAACTCCCACGCTGACAGAACAGCAGGTGATGGGCTGAAGTGGGAGGATACCGGAGGAGGAATTGTTTCATTAGCGTTGACATCATTTCCAATAAACTGTCCTTCCTCAAGGCAAAAGTATTCCAGTGAACACTCACACCGGAGAGATACAGGCAGTAGCTTGGTTTGCTTTCTTGTACAATGAGGAATATTATGGAAATATTGAATTAATAAGCTAATAATTGTAAGCTGATCTGTTTGATAGAAGTCGAAGTGGGGGTTTGATGCAGTGGGTGG